AAAATATTGGCATTAAGTTTTTCGACGCATTTTTCCCAAACATTATGCTCCGCTAGCTGTTTTTGCCAGGGCCCGCTAAACATATACATACGCGTAGGAACTTTTCAAAAAGTGGGGTGGCCAAGCGCAGAGTGTACTTCGGGAACTTTTTCTGGAAAGCGAGCCCGATGACCGAGAGGGGGGGGGGGAAGAGGTTGTATCGCTCTTAATTTAAGTGTCATGGTTGCTATGCTAGCTATACATATAGAGCTGTTTATCACTGGTGCACAATCTTGCCCATTCGACTCATCTGTCATTTGGCAAATAAGGCTATCCAGCTCTTTTAGATTATTCGTTCATGTTAACGTTGTCTTTCCTGGGGAGACGAAATTCCACAAGCGGGTAGGCATTTTGGGCCATTAATAAACCATTTGCCTCCACAGTTTAGATGCCAAAATTCGGCATGGATATACGTTGGTGAGAATTTTGAAGGTGGATTGATCGATCACAGTGCGCCAGGTTTTTCATGCGCCTTCATTTCGCTGGCTGCTTCTCAAGAAATAAGACTTGTCGCAGCATTTAAGGCGGAAACAAATTCGGTAGCTTGAAACTGCTAGAAACAATGTGGCAAAATCCATAAAAATGGAGATCCTATTTTAAGAATCAAGCCACATAATAAAGCCCAACTGTCATATGTTCCTTATCTGGGCCCTGCTCCTGTCTGCCGTCGGCGGCCACTGCCGTGGCCAGGACGTCTCCCAAATGACTGACTGCGAGCTGATCATATGGCTGCTTTGTTACATACTTTTGGACCGTCGTTACTACTTCATGGCGTATGAAACACGTGTTGGACACGTGAATCAATATCTTTTTCCCGAATTATCTTCCCTGTTCCACACCGTCGCAGAAAAATAGCCTTCGGGAAGCTATCTGCCTTAGGCATGGATTGGCCCAACGAACACTTCATTGCCCATCATGCAACGTACGCAACTTGATCTGTTTTTGTGTGTAGGCAGGGGCGTAGCCAGAGCCTTGCCAAGGGGGAACACAGGGTTGACAAAGGCCCCTCTTATTGTGACCCCCCCACCAAATAAAAATCCCCTGATACAGGTGACACGGTTCTCTTCGTTTTATGTTTTTGTTTACCTTGTAACCAGAACAGAAACCAGGTGCTACCGTGAGCTCAATTCTGTTTGCATTTTTAGGTCAATAAGCTGTAGAAATCAGGCGTTGAACGACTGCATGGAAGAAATCACCGGCGCCCTTAATTTAACTGATTATGATGGTTATGAAATGGTTGGTATGTGGTATGGTGGTTATATGTTGCTGTTGGTAAAATGGTATGATGGTTATAAAAAAGATGGTTAGCTGACTCTTTCTAAACCGATAGAATTCAGAAGCTTTGTCACTTTTTTATCTGGGTTCTACAGACAATGAGGACATCGCGAAGATAGATTGCCGATCGATATGTTTGATCCAAGTTTGAAGGTGAAAATTTGATTGCAAATCGAGTGGTCAACAATGTGTATTAACATGGCCAAGCCATGCTTGTCTGAATATGTTTACCATTCAGTCAGAATCGATTAGCGATACAATTCATGTAACGTTTTTTTAACATGCTCGCTCGCAAATCTTAGCAACAAAAACCTCGACTCCAGACGTTGTAGTCTCCATAGTTCTCGGAGCGTTAGTCCAGTAACTAACATTTAGCCGTGGCCCACTGGTGGACGAAAATGATGACGCTTCTGGGAAAGCATCCTTGGACGCTTCATGACATTAGATCTTGTATTTAGAAGGCAGTCTGAGTACATATTTCACGCGTGCAATTTTTAGATTGATGAAAAGAACGGATTGGCCCCTAAAGCACCGCGAAGTGGGGCTGGAATCTGGCGGTTGAACTGGAAGAGTGAAGGTAAAATCTCTATTTTTCATGTTTCCGCAGCTATTTATCTGTCCAGAAGACAGATTAACACGGCGCCCGCCGTCTGGTGGCACTTGAAGTGGCCGAAACTTATCGGTTTTACGGAAGCTGCAACCCAGACCATCCTTGTCCTTGCTCTCGAGGTTGGGGGCGGACAAGTTCAAGTCTTTTGATATAATTTGTTTCAATAATACATTCTGAAAGAAATGAACGTTCCCAGGGAAACATGGCATGACCTCGCTCGTTTTTTTAAAATTAATTACGACCCGCGCTATTCAACAATAGTGAGAGCCCCACTCTACTCAACAATAATGAGTGACCTCTCAATCCCTTCTGGGCAAGGGGCCTCTTGAGTAGAACACCAGGGGTACATTACCGCTTCCGGTCAAGGGCTGAAGGGCCATTCCGCCCCATCGCGAAGTGTCATCTGGCTATCATTCTGGTGGCACGGGGCGGGATCTCCTGGTCGATCCGGAGGCCATTAGAAGGATATATCATGTCACATTGTGCCCATCCCTGACACGGGAGGCCTTCTAACCCGCGCAGTCAGCCCCGGATCAGCACAGGGACCCTCACTGACGCAACAACATCCCTGATCACCGCAGGCAGTCCGGTAGTTTTCACCTGGACTCCAGTTCCATGTTTTTCTGTGTTCTTCAGAGATATTGAGTTCTCCCTGACTGTAGATTGCAGATGAAATGGGGTTCATAATTTGTATTGACATGGCTAGCCCACGTTCGTCTCATAATGCTCAAGATCCTGTCAGAGCTGATTGCTGATAACAAAACCACGTAATATGGTGTTGAACATGCGTGCTCGCAATCATAGCAATAACAGCCTCGACGCCCCGCGTTGCAGTATCTAGGCCCTGCCGCGTCGGCCTTGCGGCTGTAACACTAAGTGATGGCCAATGAGCAAACGAGAAAGATGACACATCTTAAGAGAGATGGCTGGTAAACTAGGTAAATCGGCATGCATGTTTAATGCAGTACAAAAGTAAACCAAATGCAACCTTAACCTGAAAGGTGGGGGGGTGGGCTGGCCCCCCGGCCTCCCTGTATATATATATATATATATATATATATATATATATATATATATATATAGAATTCGTGACGTTACGTGACGTGTATTTTCATTCCCTCTTTGCTCCTTATCGGTACGCCGTACGGCTCTAAAATTGTAGAATCGTCTGTTGGCCGTATAAGTACCTCGTGGACTTGCCCTCGCAAAATCTGAAGAGGACTCCGAGTTGAAATGTACCTATCCGCGGTCGAGTTGTCGAGGAATCACCCGCATACTAATGGGTGTGAACTGCAGCGCTGAGAACTGCCTAGCATTACGTTAGCCAAGAGGCTAAGGCGCTCTGACCAACCTTCTCCGCGTCTCCTTGGTGACATCCGGGCTACGTGACCGCATGTACGTCGGAAAGATCACTGATCTGATAGTTGCGTAATCCTAATGACATTCTAGGGCTCTCCATTCCAGGAGTCTCACAGAACGCTCCGCAATATGTAAACCTACATTCGTAGGAATACAGCCGTCGTGTAACATTCTCTTCAGTTAAGGGGATCTAGACCTATACACCCCTACCCAAACACGCAACTTGGGCTTCAGCCCTCCCCAACCTTGGGAAGAAACTGGGCCCAAGCCGTGGAGAAATCCGTTTCGTGGCGTATTTTGGTGTGTATCTTCTGCCATTCTCACCGCTCAACCCCCATCCCATTTCGTTCATTTGTTCGGTAAAGTTCCGCGAAGAGTATCGCTTTTGATGTGTTTGGGAGGAGGGGGGGGGGGGGGGGGGCAATCCGCTGATAGCGTAATATTCTTAGCATTCCTATACATATGAGTGGGCAGTATAATCTTGAGCAATCCGATTTTTGAAGCGTCGCCGACAGTCATATGACATCAAGGAGTACTTCTCCGCGCAACGTCATCGCGGAAACAGTACTTCTATTTGAACAGTACTTTTTCTGGAACGTTTCACAGTTTGAGATCGTGAAACAAGCATCAGATTTGACGACAACAAATCACAAATAACAACTGGTATACTTTCAAGTGGGAGAAAGCTGCTCTAGACAACACGATCTCGTTGTTTAGTAAATATTACCTCTCAACGCATCGTTTAATTACGTCATCATACATTGCACAACATTGATTGAGAGGCAATTGACTGCTGTTAGATCTCGGAATGGTACTCAAGACTGCCAAATATGAACAACTTGACATATATATATATATATATATATATATATATATATATATATATATATATATATATATGATGGTGGATGAACCCTGGTGGATGAACGCCAGGTGGATGAACCCTGCAAGGCGTATATTTTTGGTGACATTGACAAAAGTAATGAGAAACTAAGATTTTGGAGGGAAAGTGGTCAAAACACAATGAGCTATATGCAACTATGTAGTTTCAAGGACCGCTATATCATATTTTAGGCTTTACTGGGGGATCGTTTTGGAAAAGGTGGCCTTGCTTGCTCCCCGATCTATTACTGAGCGGATTATCAATCGGGCAGTGACCGCTTGAGACCGCTCGAGGCTTTGCGGATGGTTCATTCGCCAACACTGTTTAGCGGGTGCCAGATTTCGCAAAACAGCGGACCAGACTAGGTGCTCCAAATATTGGAGGAAAAAGAAAGACTTGCGCTAGTCCTTTTCAGTTCGAGACCTGCTTAGCGCCTCTGAGTCGAAGTGAAGCGCTGAAAATCCTGTTTACACTGGTGGGATGCCTCGCAATGTCAAACCGGTTACAATCAGAGTTCCAGATGGATGGGGTGGACTACAACCAGAGTTCCAGATGGGTGGGGAGGAATGAGTGGGTCTTCCGTGGACCGATTCAACTGCTCACCTCGGAAGACACGACTTCAAGTGTAGGGAGTTTGCCCTGAGACCGACAGCTTTATTCGAATATAATCTGCTGAAGCCTCGCGGAGAATGACAGTGCCCCTGGCAAACATGCGGGACGAAGGGGTGCGTGCCTGCCGCTAGTTCACAGAACTTTCAATAGATGGCAGCACAGAACGCAGCCGTTCTACGCAGCAAGTCAAAGAGTCTGGTTTCACGGCAGCAAACAGTAACATTCAATTACATATAATAATGTATTGATTCCTTAGAAGTGGTGGATTGACTTAGGATCGGCACACAATCATCATGAACAGCTCTAAACTTTATCACACCAGAGCTTCGTTCTCATTGCAAAACATCTCCAGACTTGCGGGCAACAAGACAACATGGCTGCAAGATGCACGATGGGCAGAAGCATGCGCAACACTCATCACCCACCCTAAAGCTTCTTCAAGTTTATTCTCTCGCGACACTCAGGTGTTCGGTGAACGATAGCGGTATTCATCACACTATCCTAACGCAACCGCAGTATGACCGCGATTCACTTTCATCGGGGACTCATAGCAGACAAAGGGCTGTTAAATTCATTCACGACGCCGCTGTTACCCATGCATAAACGTAAGGTCGGGGACTTTGGCATTGTCTGGAGGATAGCAGCCGCTGGCTTGCGGGAGATTACGGACTGCAGATGTCGGTAATGTTTCGTGTGACCCGGCCTAGATGGCGGTAGCGGCTACGTTTCGGACAGGCGGTTCTAGCACGGCCGCCGTTCGTTGACATCGCCGGCGTCAACCGTCGTCGTCACTTCGTCGTCACACCGTCGCTGCCGACAGGCGCCCCATTTCTCCACCCATCCTGAAAACAGACAAGCACGAGTTCCAGACCATGTTCCGCTGCTGGGTATTGGCTCAGAGGCGATCAGCAGAAAAAGATCATGCAATGCTCACACGCCGATCTCTGACGATCACAAAAGCTGCGGAAGATACGCTACGGGACAACGAATAGTATTTGCGCGCAGCTCGCAGCAGTATGCCGTGGAATGGCAGAGCCGGTGGCACAGACAAAATCCTGAGGCGCGATCTAATGTGGCAACGGCTGACTGCACGAGAGACTCCGAGCCAGACAATCGACACGGTGGGCTGATCCACGAGCGACGACAGGCGGGTGTGATACATCGCCCACGACGACCACTTCTACGTGACATTTCCACGGCGTCCTTGTAACCGTTCACACCGTACAGGCCTACCTGTCTATTTTGAGCGTGGATCCGACACAACTTCTGACTTGTCCAGTCCTTGGCGTGAGCGATGGCTTGCTAATAGGCCAACAGCGAGGCAGAACACAATTAAGACAAATTCACGACGCGCAGCCGCGCGCCTATTCTCGGTGCCGTTCGACGTCGAAGTCAGGCCGGCGGCGCGGTTCTGGTGGTCTGACACACACCGCAGTCCGCGCCGCCTCTCCAGCACCGCAGCCTTGAAGATGAGGGATGACCGCGGACAGCCTGCGGCGATCCCAGATGGGTCACCGAGGCGTCCCACACGGAGTGTTTACCGCCAGCGCCGCAGGGGCGCGTGACGTCACCGCCAGCGACCCGCGCGTCACTGCTCGTCACTGCCGCGCCGCGTCACCGACGCCGGCGATCTGGCGTCGCCAGTCTCTGAGCTGGCACCGGCGCGCCGCCCCGCACCGCTAGATGTAGAAGTAGTTCTCGTAGTCGTGGTAGCTGGGCGACTTGACGGGCGTCTTGGGCGGCGTGTGCGAGGGCGAGAGGCTCTCCAGCGAGTCCACCGACTCCAGGTTCGGCCTCCACGGCAGCTGGCGGTGGGACGGAGAGAGAGCGTCAGACCCGGCGCTCAGACACACGGCTGGGTTGGACGGGGCGGCGCCGCCGGCGGCAGCGCACAACGCAGGGGCCGAGGCGGCGGCAGTACCTCACAGCGCCGGGCTAGCACAACACGCTGCAGCAGACGGCGGGACGTGGCATGGTGGGGAACCACCGGAAGCGGGGCGTGACACAGGCCCAGGGCCGCAGCAGCAGCTGCTCGCTCTGCGGAAAGATGGCGTGGGAAGACACGACACAGAGAGAGGGCAACAGTAGCGCACAACAACGAAACGGAGGCGGCTGCAGCCCACAGGGCAGGGATATGACGGCGGTGGCGGCAGTAGCAGCGTACAACTGTAACACGAGCAAGGCCACGGCAGCCGTGACGGTGGGACGCAGCAGAAGCACAGGGACGACCCAGGGACCAGGGACCAGTTGCGGCGCACGACCCGGAGACACGGCGGCGGCGCAGCAGACGTCGCTGAACGCGACCCGCGGATGAAGACTGGACGGTGGCATTGAGCGGATTCTGCGGCGGCGGGTCCGCAAAGTACAAACACAAATGGGATCGTAAACGAACAGCCTCGTTTCATTTGGCCTCGAATGCATGGTAGAACAAACTACTCACTTCACTGTCAATGCATCACCCAGCACCCTTGCTGAATGCCAGGATTTGTGTGGCATTGCCAGACGCTACCAGACACCTTCAAGCCAATGCTTATTACTTCTGTCCATTATAGGACGAACTGCCTATATTATAATACGATATCAACAACCAAACATCCAGTGTCTTTTAACATGCTAAGTACAGGGAAATGTCATATTCAGCAGAATCCCCCCCCCCCTGACCAGACATGTACCCACGCGTAGCTGATCTAGACTCGTTATAACCACATAATATATCGTAGCGCATTCGCTGCATTTTTGTTGTTGTTTTCCATCTGAGTGGCTTCAAGTGGCCTAAGTCCAGGTAGTCGGGATTTCGGGGCAGGTTAGGTGAGTCCTCATTTGGGATCGATCATGGCGTTGGGTACCTTTTCCTCACACTCAAGCTTCCTTAACGAAGACCCTGCTAACATCTCACACAAAATAGCATTACAACACGAATGCACGAATTGATGCGGAAATGACGGGCTTCCTTTCATGGATATAATGCCCTCGCTACACAACATTGTTCTTTCATGCTGTCCTCAGCCAGTGTTCTGGCGTGTTACCACTGTTTTTTCCCATCATCTGCATGTAAACTGGCGGTTTTCTTCATTCCTCGACATCTTTCCATATAGGGGTTTCATTTATTATGCTGCAATATCTACAAAAAATCTTTGGCATGAGGTCATGGAGGCAAACAGAGCGTATGGACACATGGGGATCCAGTTGTCTTTATGTAAGACATTTAACAAATAGGCATGCTTGCCTACTTTTCATGGTACGCTGCCTTTAGAGCACGACAGCCTGCGAGGCTCCTTCGGTGACTGGATCGTGCAAAGACACACATTTCATTGTTTTCATTCACCTCCTTTTCCCTATGAAATCCTTTGCTTTTAAAAGCACGCAGTGGCAAAGGGACGCTGGAGAATAGTTTACATCTACAGCCAGAAGCCTGTAAGAGCCATGCTCGGGCCTCTCAAAGTGGTATTGACATTTTCCTATGGACAAATTTAGTTTTGCTGACTATTCTTAAGATTCTTTCTGCTAATCTGATTAGGACGCTTTCATAGTCGAAACCCATACGTGACCATCACAACAAACTGCACAATACTACAATCGGAGAGCATTATACAATCAGCCGTGTGGCAGGAAGGCCTGCTGTCACGTGACTCCCGATCACATTCGCGGTCCATGTCAGTCGTGGCACGATACGGGTCTCTCGGGCTCGACCTTCCTTTTGCGAGGGCATCAACCCCAGTCAGATCGAGATCCGATAAAAACTCTCGCTTTCTCCGATCAAAACTCTCCCGTTCTTCACTTTCTGTGTTAGTCTATAGAGACACTGCACGAGTGGGCGTGTCCCTTGGCACTTGTCTATATGGCTAAGGCGTTTAAACATCAACAAAAGTACGGTCACCCTGTGACAGTTTGCTTTTAATACCCAGAAGCTGGTTGATGGCTCTAATTAGCTTCCCATTTATGTAACTAGAAAACTTTGCTGTGTGATTTACGCCCCGTTAAGAGACGCAGAGTCCTGATCAGATCACGAAGCACATTTAATCGTGACAGATACGGATCAGTTTTGAGTTTAGCTCCGTGCGGCAGTACTACCGAGGAAACTGTAAGCATAGTCCAAACTCGCATATGGATAGCGAGTGTATTAGCGGCTGCCCGCGGAACATGACGTAACGCAAACGGCCACAATATGTGCGTCCTTAGGCAAATGGCGCATCAGATAGTCGGTTAGGCTCTCCTTTCAGGCAGCGAGGAAATTGTGCGAATTTGTGAGGTTACCCTTGACAATCAGGAGAGATTGTTCGGCAAAGGGATTACGTATAAATTGACGGATCCAAAACGAGGAGATCATAGAACGTTAGGGCAACCATTATAAAAGAAAAGTTATATATATATATATATATATATATATATATATGCATAACTTCCCTTACACAGTTTGAAAAATCCCTGAAATTATATAAGGCAACCGTTATATAGGTTCTGTGTTAACAACTTAACAACTGCTCACAAACTGACTAACACAACCATAATACTAATGTTATCACATCGGCAAGAGAAAGAGACGTTTTGAACTTACAATATCCCTCAGATTACAGGTTCAGCTTACGATGGACCTGCCTTACCCCGGTCGAGAACACACTTTTAGAACAAGGACCAGAAAGGTAGTTGGATAAATTAGGATATAGCCGGAACTATTCCGATGAAATGTGGTTACACCTTGGTTGTAAGTACAAGTGAGACAGTCTTTCTCCGATTTAACATCACAAGGTTTATCCAAAAACGTGAAATCCAGCGAGAGGTTCGTGCCTTATACTGCTGCAAATGTTATGCGTTTTTTGTTGGTGACCCCAGTCATTAGTATTATCCCGGCCTGTCTCCCTAGTCTCCAGTAGGCCACCACCTACACAGACTCGATGACACGACCCTGCCCCGGGCCCTCCGACCGCAACGTTGACCTGACCCGATCCAGTGCGGTCTGACGCAGGTCCGTCACAAGCGACGCACACTTCATCACGCTCAGTGCTGGGTAATGCTCCCCTTGGGACGCAGGTCGGATACCGCCGCGACCACCGCACCGCAGACTGGGAAGCCCTGCGCCCGGATACGCGACTAGCAGGCGGCTGCCTTGGCCGGAAAAACCGCCAATTAGCCCGCCGTGGGTCCGGCGTGAGCACGGGCTGGAGAGCGGCGGGCGAGCAAGCTATTTTCCTGGTCGTGTTCGGCGGCGCCGACGGAAATTTCTCGCCCCGGGTATTTTTGACAGCCGATGACAGCCTAGAGGAAATGGGATAGCGATTCCTCCTTCTTTCCGAGGCAATTACCGCTGTCGCCTCCTATTGTCTTCAGTACACCGGATGCCAGCGGGAGCCATGGGTCGGCTCACCGCAGACATCGCTGTAACAATGGACATTCTTTTGGAACATTCCGAATGGCTGGGGACAAGTGGCTTCAGTTTGGCCCCGGCGGTAGAAGGTGCTACCGCGCTCAGCACTAGCCTGCTTTCACGCGGCGGCTCTGCCGAAGTCCGACCCGACGCTTCTTTGGCCCGAATATTAGTCCAGAGCGCCCCCAAGAGGCGAAGGGCTCCCCGCTGGATGGGTGGCCAGCGTCAGTTGCATGTGCTGAAGCTGGGTGCGGTGCATTCCTAAACGTGTACTTACGAGCACTCCCATGACCTCCCACCTGAACAGGCTTTCCGTCACGGCTAATCCGCCCGCTCATCCTATTTCTCGCTTTATCCTGCATTCTCGCGACGCCCTGTCTGTCGAGGCCAGGCTACATGCGCCAGCCACGAGTGGGGCGCAGTGCCCCCTGGCGGGGGGCCTCCGTCTGAGCACCGAGCACACACCCCGCAAAGGGTTCCTCTGCGGGCAAAACCCCCGCGGACGGGTTCCCAGGCACGTTTAGTTTTGCTCCACCGTTATCCACTCTCCTTCATCACACAGCCCTCAAATGGTCATGGCTGATCAAAAGGGCATCATTTAGAAAATCTAGACAATCAAACCAAACCATTACAAAGCCATTACAGAACAATGTACAGCATGATGTATGCAATGTTTAAAGTATCAAAACATTAACATCTTTCATAACCCCTACAACTTTACCAAGCATATTTCCTATCCCAATAGCGAACCGAATGATGCAGATTATTGGGGCTTTACTACTCAGTGACTTCCGTGTCGTGCAGCGCATGACCCATAACATTGCGCGACCATGAAGCTTCATGCCTTATTCAGCTCTATGTATATAAAAGCCCACACCTGTTTCATCCGCTGTGCTACGCCGTGGGCGCCAGAAAATCTTTCGACGTGTTCCCTCCTGCCCCCTCTCCCCAGTACACAGTCCCAACGACTTTTGACTTCCGCGTCATTTACCAGCTGTTTCTTTATCCATTACGTGAGTGTGCAACACTGGCTGCTAAAGCAGTGCACAATCTTTTCCATGAAGCCCTGGCTTCTATACAAATCGACAGCGAGAGCGATCAAATCCGACAAAACTCCTTTCACATGACCAACGATCGGCGAGCTTCGGTCTCCGAGCAGAGCTCAGCAGCGAAGAGGACGGGGGGGGGGGGGGGGGGGGGGGGGGCAGGACGGCAGCGACCGAAGACAGCGCGCGTACAGGGCTGGAGGCCGGCGCAACCTCCTACCTTCCTGGGCCGGCGCGTGGCCTGCTCGCGCTGCAGCACGAAGTAGTAGTGGTCGCGGTCCTTCCAGCTGGCCTGTACCTGCACGGGCCGGTCGGTGGGCCGCAGCCGACGCTCGTACCGGGCCGTCCGGCACACCTGCCACCGGGTCACGACCTCAGGTCAGCGGAAAAGGTCACAAACAGCGACAGGTCAGGAATAGGGGCCACAAGTATGCAGAAGACCTCACAACATAGCAAGCATGTCCAGTTAACCGAGTACACGTGCGCAGCCAGCTGCAAGACAAGGCTGACAAGATATGTGGATGAGCAGCTGTAATTAACATGGTGTTGTTCTTAATGTGTGGTTTTAATGCTGAGAAGTGTCAGGTCATGCAGGTTTTTACTGACCTAGAGTCCCGGAAACTACGCAAAGGGCGAGCGATACACATCGATTCAAATGACACCACCTTGTCAGGAGCGGCGCCCAGAAGTATACCCGTATACAAAACACGACTGACTGGCTGAGAGTTGACCGCACAGCGGATGGCAGACGGGGCAGATAACAGTAACAAATTCCACTGCTCTACTGTATCGCATTTCCGGAGAACTGCGAGTTAGATTTTAAGAGCAGCACCAGAACGCCAGGATTGTGGCTTACAGTCACGGCTTAAACCGACGAGCAAAGTTGCAAACAATGAACGTGGGGCACCATCCGGGTGTGAGTCACTTCCGCCTTCAACGTGAGACCTGTGCAGGCCAAATGCTCATCATGCTAAATACCGCATTCATGTCAACGCAATGGGAAAGGCTAATGATTCTGACAGGGAAGGCTTCTTTGCCGGATAGGGGGCGGGGGGGGGGGGGCTTTGCCAGAAGTGATGCACTTGCTGTGACGTTGATGTAAACGCCTGCCCCTTAAGAAAACCCATGAGTCAGACACAGCAGTGCACGACAGCTACTCAACACAACTCTATCAAATTCAGGCAGATCGCGCAGGCTTACGGCTCAGAAACACCAGCTCCCTCGCCGGACCCTGGCAACGGCGCCAGCTAACGCCGCCTTCGGACGCTCGACAGTTCCAAACGACGACCGCCGGGAGCTGGACCAGCCGAGGAGTGGTGCAGCACCCGGGCCAAACAGCACGCACCTCGAGCAGGAAAAAGCGCTCGGGGGACTCCCGACAGTTGTTGCAGTTGAGGATGAGGCGCAGCAGCTCCGTCGTCTCCGTCCGATCGGAGACCAGCAGGCTCTTGTAGTGGGACTGGGGGCACAGGCAGCCTTCCGTGATGTCATGCACAGCAGGAGGTCGTAGCGCGACTGCAAGCACAGGCGGCGTATTGTGACGTCACGTTACGTGGGTTCACGTCGGGCGGCGGGGATGCAGACGCTGGGCTGTGAATTAACACCACGTCATCTGCGGAGAAGCGTCATAGAAAGACAAGTATCGACACCATGGCCTGGACATGGACACCGAGAACCGCACTGACCAAAGCGTCAACGGGCCGGAAAGCCGCATACTGCGCGAAGAAGTAGGGAATTTTTGGAGTGCGTCGGCTACTGAGGCTACAGACTGAGCTTGTTCGAGGAGGCAAGCGTGTTGGTGAAGCATTCTGTCCATTGAATTACGCCCAGCACATCCATACGAATGCTCGGTAGTTCCATGGTACCGCTCGCGCTCACGCGATGCCATAAACAATAAGTCTGCACACCAATGACGGAAAACGTTGACGTCCGTAAAAAACACCGTAAGCAACAGCGAGCCATGGTAACAAGAGATCTTGCCATCGATAGCGCCAGCGCCGGCTGGTCCGGACCGGCTGCCGTCGCTTACCCCCTGCATGAGGATGCCGTCATAGATGCGCACCAGGCCGCCTTGCCGCATCCTCAGAATAAGCCTGCCGGTGCAGAGAAGCTCGTCACCGAGTGCATACGGAGTGGCAGCACCGGAGCGGCCCCAGGCCTCCCACAGATCTTCCTCCGAGACACCTCCGCCTCGAACAGCGCATGACCTTGACCAGCGCATTGAACAGCACAGGTCAGGTCATGACCTCTCCAGCAGCGGGGTGATGACATCCTCACAGGGGACTCGGGACAATATTGCACGCGTCTGAGACCCGGCGTCCGGGGAACTCGGGACAATATTGCACGCGTCTGAGACCCGGCGTCACGAATCCTCATCACAAACCTGAATAGCAGGTTCCGATACGAATTTTCGCGTCAGACACTCACTCATAACTTGGATTACAAATATTTGCGGGTAAATCTCGCAACACAAAAAACACACGACGTACCGCCATAATGCGTACACGATGACATAGTACCACACGTGCTATGTTGCCCTGTAACACAGATTAATATAGCACGGCGCACGCTGCTATGGGGATAAGGTTTTTTCCAGAGACCGTTTGGTTGAGATTCTGGCCAAATACGTCAGCTGTGCCTTCAATTCATAGATCGTGTTTCCGCACTTGACTGCACGTAAACGCCGTACTCTCCGTGACAGATTCAAATTATTGAGCAGCATTCCAGTCAGGAACAGGCGATCTCACCAATTTTGTTCCCCGCATGTCCCAACCGCCGGCTGCGCGGTTACGCCGCACAAAGTGCAAACGTCGAAAACGCAGACCTTTGGACATGGCGCCGATGTGCGTAGCAGATCGCATCTGGGTCACGCACCAGCCCATACAGCAAACCCGCATACACCACCGCAGCTCAAAGCGCATTGCCTGCAACAGCGCCGTCCCCGCGGAGAGGAAAGCCGGACGGAAACCGCCACCGACTCTTGGCCGATTTGATCGGAAGCGTGTCCACACTATGGCCCCGCCGACCACGCGCGACCTTCGACCGGCCGCAATGCGTGCCGCGCCGCCGTGCCGGTCCCCGCTGCCCACCACTATACCGCAGTCACGCCCACCTCTACGATCCAGAGCGCCGTCGCCCGCTCCATGAACTAGCTTCGCTCCCAGGGCGGCGCTGGGCTGGTGCCTCGCGCCGCGCCGGCTGTCCCCGGAGTCGCTGGTTCATGCCGACCCGTGTGACCCGCCCATTGAGTCGGCGCTGCCGGGCCGCGGCGCGTCGGAAGAACGGTGTCCCGGTCAGCAGCGCGCCCAGGCCGAGTCGCGGCCGTCTGGATGTGCCCCCACACAGGATCTGTGCCGTTGGCGTCCCGTGGATCGGGTCCCTGTGCCCCCACACAGGACCTGCGCCGTTGGCGTCCCGTGGATCGGGTCCCTGTGCCCCCACACAGGACCTGCGCCGTTGGCGTCCCGTGGATCGGGTCCCTGTGCCCCACACAGGACCTGCGCCGTTGGCGTCCCGTGGATCGGGTCCCTGTGCCCCCACACAGGACCTGCGCCGTTGGCGTCCCGTGGATCGGGTCCCTGTGCCCCCACACAGGACCTGTGCCGTTGGCGTCCCGTAGATCGGGTCCCTGTGCCCCCACACAGGACCTGCGCCGTTGGCGTCCCGTGGATCGGGTCCCTGTGCCCCCACACAGGACCTGCGCCGTTGGCGTCCCGTAGATCGGGTCCCTGTGCCCCCACACAGGACCTGCGCCGTTGGCGTCCCGTGGATCGGGTCCCTGTGCCCCCACACAGGACCTGCGCCGTTGGCGTCCCGTAGATCGGGTCCGCTCTCCCTGTCGCGTCATGTCGCATGCTCAGCCTTGTGCCGCGCGGGGCCGTGGGCGTGACCCCGGCGTGCCAGGTCAGAGGGCCCGGGGGCATGGGACCCCGCCCGACCGCGCGTGTGAGGCAACAGAGGACGCCGCGAACAGCCTTGTCCCGGTATCGGGCCTGGCGGCGTCGCGCGCCGCTCCCGCACATGCGCGTCCCTGCCTGACTGAGGGCCACGCGGGGCACCGAGGCTGACAGTGCCACTCTGCCAGGTCAGTTAGAACGAGCATGGAGCTCGCAACGGACTGCGTACGTACCAGCGTGCGGTGTCCGTTCAGTTATATAACATCTTACGACCGATAGCTTTCTCAGAAGTCAAAACGACATAATGTACTTTAGGCAGAAAGTATGTCATGTACGCTTCTTCATCCGTATCCTGGACTTGAGCGGGCTTAGTGTCAACAAAAAAAACACCGTAAATCAGGTGGATGAAAACACCTGATCCGTACCGGCTATTTCAACCGGGTCCGACATTCCAGAACTATAGGAGTGTTCAGCATCACTTGCACATTTTAAGCCTATCACATACCGAATTTACGTCACAAAGTCGGAGGTTCGGAGCCCGAAATATGGCTCCAAACCGCGCTGCAGCACAGCGCGGTTCACAGCCATATTTCGGGCTCGAGCGCGCCACACCGCCCACCACGGGGACCAAGCTCTCCGCCAGTGCAATCGCTCCGCACACCACCGGGCCGAGCTATTCCGGGGCCAATCATGCGCCGGACATCCGGCGGAAGCGACCCGCAGCGGCGAGCGCCCACGCCGAAATTCCGACCGGGGGCGGGGCCGTGGGCGGGGGCGACTATCGGCTTTAACCGCCGACCCGTTCACGCCGCGCCGGCGCGCTTTGTCTGGCGCCAGCGCCGCAGCAAGAGCGCTGAGTCGGTCCCGCCTTTTTGCGGGTGTTTGACATTTCACACGAGGTCCGCGTCTCACTGGCGGGAAACATGCGGAGCCCGGCCCGGGAGAGGGCGCCAGGGACGCCAGAGACGCCACGCCGCCGGCAGAGCGGGCTCCGCTGGTGGCGAGCTCGCAGAGTCAGTGGAACTCGCAGCTGTCGATGACGCAAGGGTCCGAGGCGCGAGAGAGTACTGCCGGGGAATGACCGTCCGGCCGCGGGCCATTCGGCTCCGGGCAGCTCCTCCTGAGGCCTTACTCCCGCCCAGCGTCATGCTTTCAACGCGGCCCAATGAGACGAATCTCGTTAGCGGCGAACTTCTCGTGCAGATCAGGTGAAGGCCCGTCGGTGGTCAGGCGTCACTGGCAGCGGTGCTCACGACTATGCCACCGGTCAGGGACGCCACACATCTACAGCAGGGGAACCCCGCCTGCGCCCAGGTGTGATGCGACAGGGAAGCACCTGTGGCGCACCCATATTGTAATGAATCATTGGTAAAGGGGAGATGGTATGTTCTTATCCTCTCCTACAGCAAAAGTGTATAGTTCTGAAACTTGTGGCGTGAAGATCGGCTTCTGCACAATTACCAGAAATTGTCACTTACCCTTTAATTTGCAAGAGAGGACTAACATGCAATCAGGTAGGGTCAATTTGCCCCCCCCCCCCCTTCCCCCAAAGGTTCTCCTAAAGGACTTCTGAACGGCGCGGTGTAGCCGTGTCAAACTTTGCAAATTTATAGAGAACTGAATATGAGATATTTTAGTATAAATTAATTGAACGTAACTTGTAAGGTTGCCGACCTATGACAAGCCAAAGTAAGGTCGTTACTGACAGCGTATACCATTTCCAGGAAATCGATTAATCTAATGCGCCAACGGAGTGTTAGACACAGCCATACATATCCGAGATGGTTTCTTTTTGCATACTCGACGATTATTCGTAATGCCTCTTTCCTTTGATCTTCCGCACACTAAATTTCGTCTCTGGATCTTTAAATCGCTCGTAAATCTTTGATCGTGAATCTTATGCACGTTGAACTTTATTCGTGTTGTTTATCGACGTTTACTCCAGGCATTTGAACTGTCCATTTTGCCTTCTATTTTTGCTCACTTTTACGCCCTCTGATGTTGTCATCTCGTCGATTTCTTTTGACTTTTTCTATTTGCTTCGTTTTGTTTTGCTTTTTGTCCAGACTCACGTGGCTTACACAGACGCGTTCGCTGTTTACGCCCGTGACAGATGAGGCCCGTCTTGACGTGACCAACATCGACATCATGTGAGCTCACATCGGGGCGGCGCGCGCCAGTCCGGCGGCCACGCTCCGCCGCGCCGGCCGCCGTGGTTACCTGGTGTCTCCCTTGGGTCGACAGGCCTGCAGCTGGGCCGGCTTGGCCTCGTCGTCCAGCACGAGCACCGTGCGTGCCGTGTTCTCTGTGGGGAGGACGGAGCGGTGAAGCGGGGATGCAGCGCGACAGTCTCGGTCGGACGGGGCAGCGAGGTGATTGCCGGTGGCAAGCTAGGCGTGGAAGTGAGGCGGCCGCTGCTACCATTTACTGCACTGGGACGGGTGTAAAAGTGTATAGGTGGTGTATAGAGTGAAAGTGTATAGGTGGTGTATAGAGTGCCGGTAGTGTAGTGGTTAACGCGTCTGCGTTAACCGCTGCGCGTCTGGGAAACCAGAGGTACGGGGTTCGATTCCTCGCGGCGCCCGCCCTTCCTGCCAGGGTGAGAGGCAGGCGACACCATCAAGCCCCAGCAGCTGAGTGCATCGTAAAGCATCAATGACAACAGCAGTATGTGGCGCACAGGGAGCGGTGCCGGCCAGACATGGGTGACGACTGGGAAAAATCGAAAGCGTTACGTAGGCATGACACGCTGGTCAGTGGGCCATTCAATCCTCACTATTACAGATGCATGCGCTCGAAGAATTCAGCAGCTGGTTTTCAACGCACCGCAAACGAGCGCAGATGTCCCGCCACACAACAGATCCGGCTGGCAGTGTTCAAATATTCCGCCACTTTGGGTGGCAGGGGTGCGATATTTGTATTACATTTCGGCTTGGAGCTCACGGCTTGTTGCTCCTGCTCTTGCTCAAAATAGGCCAATTAGCATCGAACTGGACGGTCAGCTCAGCGTCCAAGCGCCTCAGGCTTCACAAATGGGCAGGTCAGATGTCAGGGTTGGGGGTCAAAGGGCCACGGATTAGCGCCGACGAATTGCGTGCGGGGGCCGCCGGAGATGTCAGATTCTGGCAGCGCGAGTTTATATTTACATGCTGCACACCCCACCGAATGAATGCTGGAACGTTGGATCCGGGTCGGGTGGGTGGTGACGGGCACAGTGATGGCCGCACGTATACGTCATCGGCGCCGACGCGGGTCGAGCGGCGGCTCAGACGAGGGGTCGCCGGCCACACAGGGCAGAGGGTCACGCGGTGAAGCCCCGCGGCAGCGACGCGGCGGCGGGGACCCGGTGGGGCCTGTGTCAACACAGCTGCGGCGGAAGAGACGCCGTTCCTGGCGTTCTGGTGCTGACATCACCGCCGCGAAAGCCGAGCCGTCCAAACAAATACGCGGCGCAGAGAGCCGATGCGCGTGCACGGCAAGGCCGGCCTTGAAGCCGCGCCGCCGAGATTTGTATTCTGGTTGTCGTGTTAGCCTGGAAGTTCTGCTCACGCAAAGGTATTTCACTACATATTAGTGGGGGTACGACACGTGTCAGCTTCGTCACAAGGACTCGCATCAGGGAGCATAATACTCAGTCGGCGACAGGAACGCAGAAAAAACTGCCCACCAAGGACAAATGGCCAGATCTGCTGTACAAAGGCCCGGCTGCAGTTTGCAAACGCGTAAACAGGAACGAAGAGACTTCATTCAGTGAGATAATAGCCCTAATAATTACCACAAACATTAACAGGGAGCGACGGAAAGGAACAACGAACAGCAAGACCACCACTTACTTCCACTTCCCCCTCCCCCGACATTTACTTCCTCTTTCCCCGACCCCCAACACCTTTACTTCCAGCGAGCCGTCCCCACACAGCATGCGTACAAAACCAACAAGCGAATGAGCCGGCTGACCTGTGGACCGGACGCCCACTTCCATGGTCAGGTAGAAGAGATTGGGGTCGCGGTGCTTCATGCGGTACTTGTTGAGCAGCGTCGACACCAGCTCCCGACATGTCGTGCCGAACGTCACACCTAGCGTCTTGTACTCGATGTCGGAGCGCAGGCAGCGCGCGTACACCTTCACAGGGATCTGGTGGAGAGACAAGCCGGTCAGGGGCGCCTCGTACCATGACGTCATCACCGCACAGCAGCCCAGTTGGCCGGAAGGCTTCTGCCTTGGACAGGCCGCCGTGGGGTCGCAGGGTCTGGAGGAGAGGCAGGTGAGATGGGAGGTGGGGGGCTGACATGGTCAACGCGATCCCTCAGAGGCCCCACTTCCATTTCCGGGAGGCGCGGCGTTTGAAGGGGGAGGGAGGGAGGGCCAGGCCACCAGCACCAACAACACCTTCTCCCCAGGTGTCCCGAAAGGATAAGAGGGAGAACGCCTGGCTCGTTCTGCAATGACGTTCTGTTCAAATGCATCTGACGTTTATCGAAGAGGCGGCATGCTTTCTCGACACCTGGATGAATAAATCTTAGGTGTCTGTGAATAAAAATGCTACCAAAGGCAGACGCTAAACGGTTTTCTTGGCCGTCGATCAATCACCCTGCAAGGCTTGGAGTCAATTCAGTAGTAGATAGCCGAACAAATAAAACGGTGACATCATCCTTCGGTGACTTGTCTGACATTACGACAATAAGGGGCAATATACTCCTTGAAACTGGTTGGTTGAGTTGGCTAGAAAGGCATGGTTTGGACCATATGGCATCCGTCTATTCGCGGATGTCATCACTAGGATGTGTTCCAGGCCTTGGCGAAGTCATATTCTGACATATCCACGCGAAAAGTGAAAGTTTCATGAACGATCAGATCGATTTATTCAACTTACGGTTAGGCTGAAACGCTAACCGCAACACTCCACTTGTGTTTGGTAAAGAGCCATTAACGACTTGCGATCAATTAGAAAAAAACAGATGGCTTTGAAGATTACAACACTCAGAGCCAGCCATGCAGAAGGGATACGGCCAGAAACTGCCGACTATCACACGACTTTTCTCATTCGACAGATTCACACGTGATTAGTGGCTCATTAATAACGACTAATCGCAGGCTTCATGGCCTCTTCAATGTAAGCGTGTGATTTAAGCGCATCCAAAGCAACGTTTCCACTTACAGCGTACGCGGTGCGTTAGCGGTTTTTCGTAAGCGGATTACTACAGCATTGTCGACATAACTGCGAAAGGTTACCGTAAAACACTTTCAGGATATGGGGAAGGCTACATCATGTGCACCTGGTAAATACAAGCACACTGCAGTTCATTTAGTAATCAGAGGTAAGCAGCTGAATCCGGACTTTTCCACATTTTGAGTGAAGTGACATAAAAGCACACGAGTAGAGTCCAAACTGGGTGACTGACAGGGAACGCTGCATAGAACAAAATAATACAACATAGCAGTCATGCAGTTTCATTTGTTCTCACTAAAAGCACCCACACACAAACCACCAACGGGTCACCAGTAGTGCCACGTCCCAAATTCGTTGCGTCTAAGAGATACTGTTACCTGTCTGATTGCATGTAAAGAGCAGGCAAAGTCCCACCGCTGTTGCCCGTAAAACTGTACCGGGTCACGTGACTATGTCATGGCCTATCAAATACCGTTGCCGGTTGCTAACCAAACGCACCAGGCAGTTTTTGGAAAATCGGATAGCTGTAAGCTGAGCTGAAACCAGCTTGGATGCATTTCATCCATTACGGTAACGTGAGGCAGCAAGTCTTCAAATACTGGAAATATAGTTCGCTTTCACCAGGCCCCGACTTCCTTCATATTCACTGCCTCTATAAATCTGTATAACACGATTAATGATGCATCGATTGGCGGACGCCAACAGCAGACTGTTCGCCTTGATGACGTCACTATAGCCCTCTGAGATAACCTCAAACAGCACTGTTGCCTTCACCTCCGCTCCGGGCAACAATGTTCGCCTCGGTCATCATATCGGGGTACAGTGACGTCATCTACGGTCAGCAATTTACCGCTGGTGCCCGCTGCTCAATGCTCTCTGCCGTTTTCGTAGAACACCGGAAACTAAACATCGGACGAGTTAAAGCCCGTTTACACCTTGCGTAAACATAGCGGAGTCACGTAGATTCTTGCGAGTAAGGGAAAGCCTACACAATGATTTCTATCTTAGCATGAGGGAAGCTTGCTATCAAGAGCACACTGCTGAGCGGGCTCAAGGATAAGATCAGCAGGAAAGGTCAATCACACCAGTTATGAAAACGCCGTTCAGAACGGTTCCGCATTCTTAAAAACACTGACGTTGTTTCTGCCTTCAAGAATAACCGCGCTATTCGGTAAAGCAGGATTTCTGATCCCTCCAAAAAACAGTTTAACTCTGCACATAACGCTATTTTTTACACTTCACTGTACGCTGTAGCAATGCTAGGTCTAATCAGAATCTTCGGCTGAATGCGTCCGTTACCGTAAGGCGATTTGGGACGGTTGGATTTTGTCAGTTAACACGCTTAGTGTCATAAAGGGCGCATGACATCGAGATTAGCAGCTTGTTTCCACATTAGCATTTCCTGTCAGCAACTAACAGCCCGTCGGTCATGAAACGTGTCGATGCCTGCAGATATCAAGCTTGCTTCGTTCCACCTGACCATGAGACGTCGCCCACAAGTCTTGGTGCATTCACCTTCAGGCAAACCTTAAACAATTCATGTGATTCCGGTCAAATCGTAATCTTCAGGCATTGAGAAGAGAATACATCCCGCAACATCCAGCATTCTTTTTTCTCGCGCTACAACACCACGGTTTTGCACCGAGTATACTTCAGATATCGCTGAAAAGGAACTCGTCCATCCATGTGTGACGCCCAGTCTTTTGTAAATTATGTCCGCATCATCTTGTCGCACTATGCCGCTGTCCCTGGCAGACACTACGGCCGCAGACACCGAAGCACACTCCGCATGAATGCACCTGTGGTGTTGTCCTGCAGATGCCTGCACCGCTCTCACGCGCCGTGCCCGATGAGCCGGAAGAGACGGTACCACGGTCGCAACACATGACCGAGCGTGATGCGGCCCTGCAGCGCGTCAACTGCAGTCGTCAACAGTCACCGGGAAAGAATGTGGTGCGTTGGGGTGAGGTAAGACTGTGCCGCCAAACAGGGTCTTGGTTCTCTGACGTGTAACGCTGGCGTTACAGCTCGTGTTTAGATATTATGGGGAAACAGATAATGACGGTGATACGCTGCTAACGGGCATTCGAAAGCAAATTATTTTAAGTAGTTGATGAAAGTATTACAGAACAGTGAAAATAGGCTGTGCGGAGCCATCTACCAAATGACAGTGTCTGAAAGTCTTGGGTCCTATTCATTGATTCACGGCACACGCATGTGTAGTTGGAAATATCTTAATTGCCAAGCAAATGAAATTAAATAAATTGCCAGTAAATGATAATTAACTAATATGTCGTAAATATTAATTCAATTAAATAGTAAAAAGTATACAACAACAGTAAATTGCCCAGTTTAGAAAGACCGGTGGCCAGTTCCGCTTGATGAGTGATTTCGTCGACTGTTTTCGTCTCATTAATTAGCACACCCTGAAGTGATGCCGGAGAAGGCAAACTCACTATCACTGCTGAGACACTAGTCATGCAGATCAAGACGTCCCATGCGGTGGCTCGTCTGTTTCCAATGAACTTACAGGATCCTCTCGTCAGGAATAGATCTTGATAAATACGTCTGTCGAAAAACCAATCGCGTGGCGGATGTAAGCCGGCTTCAAAATCGCAATCTCATCGTCTTTCCCATGCAGGCACATTCATCTCCAGACAGAGGCCCGCCCGCGCTCAGAGGCTAAGCATGCCATCTGTTGCGGGGCAAATCACCCTCCTCGTGCAGTATCGCACGTTCTATCAGAAGCGTGACACAAATATTGGACGGGACACGGTCTTGCGCGGAGCCCGCACCGGCAACATCGGCGCATAAACAGGCCAAGGCGCTGCAACGCCAGTTCATCTCAGAGCGAAATCACGACCCGCTGGCACGACCTGCTCTGTTATGCTCATTCATCTACACTTCTACGTACACATGAATCGAAATCATTAGTGTGCAGGGGACCTGTGCATGAAGAACGCTTGAAAGTGAATTGTTTCAGCCGTGTTGGTCGTTGTGCCTCCAACGCTAAATGCGAAGTAAGCCCATTCCAGACATAAGTGCAGTTTTGGGGATACGTTTACGCTTACCCAGCACTCTACAAGCGATTAAGTCAAACTGCACAGCTGGTATGTATTTGCGGCACGAATAGGGCCCCTGAGCCATTCCGTCTCATCAAAAAGCAGGGGAAATATGATCTGCTGAACCGGAATAGCAATGCTATGACGATGGCTACATAACGAATCAATGAGCTCTGCCAGCACGTGCTGATCACATGCAGCCATGCAATTTAATTGATATGAAATTCCTACAAAAAACGGTCATCCGCGTGGCTCTCAATTTAGTCACCGCCGCAAAAAAGGGGATTCATTTATGCGAAGCCACATTTTCCCTTCACCAATCGCACACTTTGGGACATGACACCTAGGACAATGACACACATCCACTCTGACTCCATCACCCTTGACGTGCTCTCGGCACTTCAGCACATTTTTCGGTTCCGACCTCATTAATGCAGAGCAACATGTGCGGCGTCAAATTTCTTTGGGGGGGGGGGGATCCTGGCCACACAGTGTCCTACCCCTCCCATTCATAGGCCAATGTTCTCGCAAAGCCCGGTCCCCTCAGTCTGATGCTCAATCTGCCACAACGCGCTAAACACGTTAAAAAACTCTAAAACTCTGGCGTTTTCGCAGATCCGAGCCTGCCTCATCCCAGCAGCATTCGCCGAGCTGGGCGCCACTCACCGACGGTCCGTCGGCCTGGGCGGCGGCGCTGACGGTCTGCGGTGGCTGCGAGGCGACGCTCGCCGCGCCCTGCGAGCTGCTGCTGGCCGCGCTGCTCTGCGTCTCGTTCAACGACGTATAGGACGAGGAGCGTGACGAGAGCGTGCCCTCGGGCGCCACGCCCAGGCTGCCCGACGAGCTGAGGCTGAAGGTGTCGGGCCGACCCGGCCGGCCGCCCGCCGCCGGCCGCACCGGACTCAGGTGCACGTGCTTCAGCATCCTGCGGCGGGAGGGGACGAGCGTGAGCGCAGGCTGGTGCCCCGGGGGAGGCGCTTCGGCGGTGCTTCGACGGCACTTCGGCGGTGAGGGCGGGGGAAGGGCAGACTCGAGGCGTGTGCGATCATGCGCTGAGGACTGAGACTGCAGCCAGGGCACGCATGAACATTGGGGATGATTCACTGCCGAGACGTGTGGGGAAGGCTGGAGAGGATCACAGGGAGAGGGCGACGTGATGACGGGCAGCGTCAACAGACTGAGGTGCGAAGAACCATCGAAACACGATGCAGCATCGCTTTATTTAGGTCCGTCAGAAGGAGAGCCAACTAGCAAGATGCGGTCTGTTTGGAGCCAAAACCGAACAGCGCGACAAAAAAGTTCAGTCGGCTTAAAATGAGCGGGGAAGACACAGTTGCGTGAATTTCACAGCAGCACGTTTGCTTACACGAGTGAATAAAGCACCTATTGTTGGAAATTGTTTGGGTAAACTTCCGCTGCCTCTGGCCGACGTCACGTTGGGCGGTGTGCCATGGACCGGCGAAACGCAACCAGTAGTGGGCGCACATCCATTCATCGATAAACATTCGGTTGGCAAAAGTTAATGGACTGTGGAATTTCAGCATGTGTGTGTGTGTGAGTGAGTGTGTGTGTGTCAAATAGCATCGCACGCCCTCTGCACACAAGCAGGTGAACATGACCAGCAAAAATGTCACGCTGATTCCAGGACCGAGAGGGATGCCGACGCCTTGCTGCTTAAAAAAGGACACGAGTCTGATCAGCTCACTCCTCGACTTTTGTGCCCTCCACGCTTACGCACCGCACTCGTTTCACTCTCTCGACGTATTTCCAACGACTGGCGTATTGTTAGCAGCGTTAGCGTCACATCTGGAACTGCTAGTAAAACAGTTTATCCTGATCCGCTGTCCTTGCGGGCAATCGTGGGTGATCCACATCCGGTTGGAGAATGAACTGCGGCCGGATGGAGGGTGCACGCGACCTCAGCTGCCCCGTCGGACCGTCTCATCAAGTCACCAGAATCGTCAGCTGCCCCGTCGGACCGTCTCATCAAGTCACCAGAATCGTCAGCTGCCCCGCCGGACCGTCTCATCAAGTCACCAGAATCGTCGCTGCCCCGTCGGACCGCCTCATCAAGTCACCAGAATCGTCAGCTGCCCCGTCGGACCATCTCATCAAGTCACCAGAATCGTCAGCTGCCCCGTCGGACCGTCTCATCAAGTCACCAGAATCGTCAGCTGCCCCGTCGGACCGTCTCATCAAGTCACCAGAATCGTCAGCTGCCCCGTCGGACCGTCTCATCAAGTCACCAGAATCGTCAGGTTGGGCTGTTTCAGCAGGAACCACCACACGATGGAGAAGAATGATGTAAATACTTTCTGGCTCTTATATTTATATATTGACGGTTCACGCAAGTTACATCACTTTAGGATTATGTTTTGCGTCGGAAATAAAAAGTCCGCTCGTAGCTTCTCGTCTTTGTTCCGACGGAGTATTGTGATTTTGGTGTGATCAGTTTGGCGTTTCGTTATTTTCTCAGAAATCAATGCATTTGTAATATTGCAAACTTTAGTTGGATACGCAAATTTCAAATATTACCGTGAACAACGTATATCAGAACCACATAATTACATCTTGCGTGCCAGCGCAAGCAGCTGGGCCTCGCCTCCAGATTCCTGTTCATCCCGGAGCAGAACAGTAGGAGCACGTAGTCTGATGCGACCTCCATTCCAGACCACAGAGCCGCGCCCCCGGCTACACTGGCGGCCGACACGCCGCGGCCACCGGCGCCGTCCATCAGCTGTTGTCGACGGACGACCGGCGGTCAGCTGGTGTCGTTTACGGCCAGCTGAGCTGACCTACGGCCACCGCCCAGTCCGCCGCAGACGACGTATGGGTCAGCGGCGTGTCGCGCGATCGCGTCGCGGCTCTGTCGCCGCGCCGCGGCCGCCCCTTCCCGCGATTACGCGCAGAAAGTCGGGCGGCGGCGGCGGCGCGCGCGGTGGGAACCGCGGCCGGAACCTGATCCGACGCGCCCACATAAACACTGCCGGGGCGGACGCCGGCCGGCCCGCGCGCGCGAGGCTGCGGTGCGTGCTCTGGTGGATCGGCGCGCTCGGCGCCCCGCAGCCGCCCCCGGCACTGCCCCAGGGCCACACCACAGCCGGCGGCGAGAGCGGCGCGGGGCGTCACGCAAACCGGTGGGCCGCGGCCGCCGGCGGTCAGTAGCTCCTGCCCCGCCCGTGGGAGCGACTCTCCGAGAACGACTCCCGCACGTCCGGTGACGCTGATTTTCTGGCCGACCAGGCAACGGACGCTCTCACTCCCAGATCACTGGCCACGCTCACTGAAGCCCGGCGGAGCCCGGTAAAGCCACGTGAAACCCGCTACAGCTCGTTGAAGCCCACCATGCAGCTCTTTGGGGTCTGAGGAGTCCGCTCAAGCCCTGCGGAGCCAGCGGGTTTTAGCGAAGCCCGCCGTCAAGCAGGCGGACCGGCCATCGCGGCAGTACAAAAAGCGGCTGCGGCCACTGTTCCCAATTGGCGTCGGGGAGACCGCGAGATGGTTTTTGCCGCCAGTCTTTGGTTACAGCTCTATAAACACCGCCACCGGACAGTCCCGTGCTGATCTTGCGACAAGAAGAACGGGCTGTGTTGGCTCTGGCGACATATGTCGGACGCGCCGGCCACTCACAGGGCACGTGACGCAACCGGCGGCCCACTTGCGAGGCGCGGGTGACACGCTTGCAAGGCAGCGCTCGAGAGGCGCCGCGCCAGCATCTAGTTATCATAGTAAGCTGGACGAGAGGCGCGGGGCGAGAGCCTGTCCGACATGACGAGCAGCGCTGTTGGAGGTGGGGCTGGCGCCGACGCTAAGCCCCAACTAAGTGGCGGAGAGGGGCCTGCTTATGTCAGCGCAGCGGCACGGCTCTAGGCCCGGCCGAGCCCTTCAGACGGTCTCCGATCTAATGACTGACCGTCACAGCGAAGCGTTTTACCTGCGGTGCCGCCTTAGCGATCCGCCGTGTTTTCAGTGCAAAGGAATGGACATTGTGCGACAGGTGGCTCCCGTATAGTCCCCGATCACAGCGGTGGTGCTTATTAGCATGCTAGTGTAAGCCACCAGCTGCTCGACTTTCACCCCAGTTGTAGCGCCTGTTGGCACGTCGAACCACCCCGTCGGTCACCGTGTCACGTGACACTACACAGACGGTGTCAGTGACCCGGGTGTCTCCCACGCCCACGGCTCAGGCATACCAGTCCATGCACGCGGCCCACCGGCGACCCTGTCCAAACACGCAAGCTTTCCAGCCCACGGAAACACGTGCACCGGCCGGTGGACAGATACTATCTTGTCAACGGATGCGTGCGTCCTAGCCGGCCAGCCCAGCTGTGCCAGTCGGCGGCCCCTGACCGGTCCCCCACGCCGGGTGTGCCGCTCGTGGCTCCGCCCGGCCGTGCCGGGGCGTGCAGCCGGAGGTGCCCAGAACGGCTGACCGTGTCGGGCGTGCCGACCGCCAACCAACACGGGCTGCCGTGGCGCCGCGCCGCTATCTGATGGCGGTCGGCGGCGGCTCCAAACTCGGCGGTGCCGCTCGCGCCCAGATCAAACCCCGGCCGTCTATCAGCTTGAGCGATTGGGATTGAGTCTGACGCGGCGGCCGGTCAGATTTGAGCCGGCGCCGACTTCGGACCCGCCGGCGGGCGCACCGCATCCTCGGGGATTATTTCGCCGGATTACAGCCCGCGCCGGTGCTCAGGCGAAGCTCCTCCGCGGCGCCGAACGGGCAACGACCCTTCGCTGTCATCAGATGTTCTCTGGCCCTGCGCTGGTGCGTGCACCGTCTCAGGCCGCCTTCAGCACGCTGCTTCAGTCACGAACGAGAGCTCTGGCGGGGCGGGGCGGCCAGCATGGGTGCATACTCGGAGCGGGCGGACCGACATAGCATGCCACGGCTTGCAGACAGGAGGACCCACGTCAGGCACGGTGGGTCCAGCGATGCCCCGCAGTGCACGACCGCTGGCGAATGCTCAGTCCAATTGCTGCGTCGCTTTTGCATGCATCGCGCTCATGTAAAAGAGACGCTAAGCTATCTTGCTATCCTGACAAGGTGTTGTAAACCAGCATAGAAAAGAACCGACAGTGCAAAAGGGTCGACAGACTGCTGATGTTCAGAAGCTTCGCGGACAGTGCCCCGGGGTCGCCGCGCATGCGCGGTCTTCATCCGTTCACAGAGGCACAATGACGGGCGGGACCTCTCATCAACACGGACGCCAGGAGACGTCACGGCCACGCTCGCCGTGCCATTCAAGTCGGCGCCGGGTGTCAGAGGTCACTTGAATTCGTCCATGTAATTGGTCGTTTATTAGGAGCAGCGAACTTTCGTTTGGCGAGTCTCACGACCCAGCAGCAGGTGGCAACGGTGGCATGTCACCCGGTGCCAACCAGCGCGGACTCGGAACCAGGGGCTGAGAGAGGGGGCCGCTTTGCCACGAGGCAGAACGAATGCTTCTTCATCACCGAGCAGAGAGAGGGCCGCTTTACGACGGGCAGAATGAAGGCTCATGTACGAGCTCCCAGGGCTCCAGGCGTGTCGGGAGCAGATGGGACGAACACAAGAAAACAACTACCGTTGTCATGACGGCGGCAGAATCTGCACAGGGCGATTCCAGCTGTTTTGGGTTAGAGACGCCACTTTTGAGTCGCTTTAACCCGCACATCGCGGGCCTGTGGGCTCAAAAGTGGTGCCTCTTCTAGTATGAATTACTTCAGTACAGTTGCACGTTTGTGATTGACGCGGCGGGCAGCAAGGGTTAGTTACCGAGAAGCGCGTTGCTTGGATTTGAACCAGTGTGTCATTACAGACCATGTGATATCCTGTTTCCCAAAGGCAAAGTGTGCTTTGAAAAGAGCTTCTCTGATAAATGTCATAGGAAAGAAATCAAAGCCGAAATATACCGTCTCGTGGAATTCACAAGGGCAATAGCT